ACTTTTCACAGGAAGACCATTTTCAACAGTACATGTTCTCTGTAAATTCATTGCGGACATCTAACAAAGCTACTGCTGTCATCAAAATTGCTCCTCACCCTACCAACCAACCTATCAACAACCAAAAAACATCCCACGTAGCTCGTTGGTGGCTCAAAATGACTGTTCTTAAGTTGCTAATTTCATTTTGACCAGATTTTTGCGTGCATGCCATTTTGTTTTTAAAAGTTTTTCCATCAGCCGAAAATTGCCCCAATTAACTGATTTCCAAGTAACACTGACCACCGTGTTAATTTCTCTTTTACAACTAATCACTTAACTTTCATGCCCTTTAAATGCTCTGGACCTTTACTCACAACATCCCTCTTCACGTCACCCTTTTTCGTAAACACTACAACTAATTTTGGTCTTGGTGCCTTTTAACCCAAGATTCTTATCTGCAAAAGGTGATTCATTGGTTTCTACCAGTCCCGCACACATTGGTGTGATATTTGACCCAAATCCATGTTCACGTTTGATGGTGGTGGCACCAGAAGACTTATGATTATTGTTCTTCTGGTGCCTCCGGGCACCAAACGTGAACATGGATTTGGGTCAAATATCACACCAATGTGTGTCGGACTGGTAGATTCCAATGAATCAGCTTTTGCTGACAAGATTTTGCATTAAAAGTCACCAGAACTGAAATTAATTTATTTGTCCTTTAAATGCTTCACCCCTTTACTCACAACATCCCTCTTCACTCAAAAGACTTTATTTCACCACATTGGAAATGACAAATTGCCCGAAGATTGTTGCTTTGGACCTTTACGCTTAAATTCGCTTGCTAAAAAAGTTAGTATCTTGCCTAGCTAAACTAATTCCTTGTAAGTCCATTTTCCCGCCAAAAAAAAAAACTAATTGGCACCCTCACCTGGTTAATTAATTGGATTAAAGTTTTCCCGCCAAAAAACTTAGTATATGGAGCACTCTAACCTTGAACTTGTGCCCCCCTCCCCACACTTACCTTCTGCCACCACTCACACAGCATGTTAGTTACACTCTTCCAACACTTGCGACTTCTTTGGACATGTAACTTCTCCGGACATGTAGTCACTACCCTCTGGTACCCAAACACTTGGTTGATCGAGCACAGTCTTTCCGCCACTTAGACTTTAGAATGGTTTCTCGCTCTCCTGGTCAGTCAATGCACTAAGTGTACTCCCCGTGGGATGTCTTTCCGGAGACATTGATGCTTCGACACATCAGTATACCAGTGCAATTGACTGACCAGAAGAGCAAGAAACTATTCTAAAGTCTAAGTGGCGGAAAGACTGTGCTCGATCAACCAAGTGTTTGGGTACCAGAGGGTAGTATACATGTCCGGAGAAGTTACATGTCCAAAGAAGTCACAAGTGTTGGAAGAGTGTAACTAACATGCTGTGTGAGTGGTGGCAGAAGGTAAGTGTGGGGAGGGGGGCACAAGTTCAAGGTTAGAGTGCTCCATATACTAAGTTTTTGGCGGGAAAACTTTAATCCAATTAATTAACCAGGTGAGGGTGCCAATTAGTTTTTTTTTTGGCGGGAAAATGACTTACAAGGAATAAGTGTGGCCTTCCGAGATACAAAGTTTTCTTTGCAGGAAAATTGACAATTTTGGGGGCAATTTGGTGTTCATATGATACGAAAAACAACGTGGAATTAATGCAGCCGGCTAAAATACAAAGTTTTTTGGCAGGAGAATTTAAGTGTGAAGGTGCAAAAGCACAATTTTCGAGGCAATTTGGCGTTCATACGATACGAAAAGGATAACAGCGTGGAATTAATGTGGCCAGCTATGGTACTAAGATTTTTGGCGGAAGAATTGAGTGTAAAGGTCCAATGTGAGAACTTTGGGACAATTTGGCACAATATGAAGAATTTTTCAGTGTTGCTTGACATGAAATTGAAGTCGCTGGCTACGAGTAACGTTAAATGGCTCCTCACGAAAAAAAGAGAAATGCGAGTGCAAGTGTGTGCATATGGAGTGTTGTCTCGTGTTAATAAAGAAAACATACTCACACCTCCCCATCTTCTTTTACACAGGTTGAGATCTGCTGACAAAAAGTCTGGTCCTTCCTCCTGCTACAGTCCGGTCTCCGGATCATCCACAATGTCATCTTGAAGACAGAGAAACAAGTCAGTGTATTGAAACAGCTATTGGCCTTCGAATCAAAGCAGCAGAACAAAACGATACCCCATTATTCCCTCGAAAGTTCTTTCGGTACATTTAATGGTTTCAGCTGTTTTAAAACTCTCACTTAACAGCGTATCTACAGTATCTTTTAGTTTTTACTATCTATGTGCATTCAGAAATGACAACAAAAAGCTGGCAGGGCCAATGGTATTTTGAACCAAAAGGATTGTAGATATGCCCTTGTACCCTAACATGTTTCATGTCATTTCTAGGGGTCTGTATGAGAGGTCCCCATCATGATTTGCGTTTAAATGCAGAACGCAGCAGCCACGTATTGCTACCTTCGTTCCTACGAAATTGATTGCTCTACGCATAATGCAATACGTTAAACAGTAAATCAGGGCAGCCTGTCTTCAAATTGTACACGATATAAATGGCTAGTTATTCCAACAATACGCGTTGTGTCGTGCAGACCCCCATTTGTAAACAAGTTCATGAAGCAAAAGCTGACTTACACTTTAAAGTCCAATGTTCTCTTGTCTGGTAGACAGCTGGTAGGTCCTACGGACAGGTACACAGGATAGCTGACAGGTCCCACTGCACACACAGGAACAACATCATCAGCTTTCACTTGGGATAACCTAGGGAGTAAAAGAAAAAATCATTCAGAAAATTTACAGTCACTATCTGTACTTACAGAACATGCAAGATACAGTGTCAATTCAATTTGTTAAAGTTCAAAACATGCTTCGGTTGGGACAAATCTATTGGTGAGGCAGCATGTAAATAAAACGAGCACAGCCAGTTATTGCAGCAGTAACATTCAGTCAAAAGTTACACAAAACATTGTCATGATAGCAACAGCTGAAATCATTGCATACACATACGAGTAATAAGATACATGTAGCACATCAAAACTATCCATGACAAGTTGCACCTCATTGCAAAATACCTGAGTACAAACATGTCATAATCAAGAGGGAGTACAATTTCTATGCAGCATCTGAAACTAAACTCGAATATTTAAGTCAGAACAACAAACAACTTTTTACACATTCATAGCATCCTTACCTGAACATCAGGCATTGTATACTTACCTGTCCAAAATAGTAGGTAACTCAGGTTACCATTTTTTTTACCCCTATAAAATCCTTCATGTTGAAGGCTCCTCCAGTGAACAAGAAAATCCAAGAAGTTCTGCATGAAATTTAGCGGAACATCAATGAAAGTTTGGCCTCGAGGTAGAACATTTCAAAATACTACAAAACTGCATGGAATATTTTACATAAATAATTATAATTTTCATAATGATTATACATGTTAATAGCCGGTTTCAGACAATCAGCCCCACCACGTAGCCACGAAGACAAACCTTGGGTTGTTTGTCACACGGCATTTCAGATCAGCTTCCTAAGGACACACTCTACAAGAGCAGCGCAGCAGAACAGCACCGGTACACCAGAGTTCTTGCCACAAAGTGCACATTGCTGACTGACTTGAAGTGTCTGCTTCTCTTCCGTGAATAGTTTCATCAGGTTGGTAAGACACTGAGTAAAGAGACTCTTTTTACACAACCAAGTCTTTTATTCAGCCAACGTTTCGGTGACCGTCTGTCACCTTCCTCGGAATAATCAGAACCAGTCAGAATTACCATGAGGAAGGTGACAGACGGTCACCGAAACGTTGGCTGAATAAAAGACTTGGTTGTGTAAAAAGAGTCAATGTCTGCTTCTGCCAGGGGATAATAAAACTTGAAGGTAACTTGTTATGTACTAGACAGTTTCATTGGCTAATTCTGTAACAGATGCGGGTTGGACAAGATTGTCGTCTTTTCTGAGCTGTAAAATTAGGGTTGACAACAATAGTCCACCCCAAAGTGTGCTTTGAGATGGGGCTCTGAAAAGGGGAACAGGGGTGCTGCATCCTGATAGTTGTATTTGTTGTATGATTGTGGGTGAGTGGGTGTGACCAATTCTGCCAGAACCAGAAAATTCAGATTGTCCATTGTCTCCTTGTCAGGCCAGTCAGTTAAAAATGTAAAAATGTTTTTAGGCCTGTTTAGTTTTTCCCTCCATCTCACAAGCTAATGAAACAACGGATTACCAGTTACTGTAGTAACTGTCACATTTCTTTGTCTAGATGTATGAAAAGTTTTTGTACAAGTGCATTATTTAGAGAAACACAGTCCTATAATGACTGTTGATCTTCAAAATTGATTAACTTGAAAAAGATGAAATCTTTGAAGTGCAATATTTTATATTATCTTTCTGCTAATTTTTTTTATCTTGAAGGTGCAAAGGCACAAAAATTGAGCAAAAATCCTTGATATTTATATTGAATATTCAAACTGTGGCTTCAGACAATCAACACCACCATATTATACAGACTGCTTTAAATTTTATGTTTGCTACTTTAATGTTTGCTACATTGAATGACACTAAAGGAACAACCTAAGCACAGCAGTTAACAACATGTATTGTAGCAGGTAAAAAGCACTTCCTGCCTTAAAAATAATTAAACAAACGGGTCATATGGAACTGTTCCAAATGATTCGTAGGCCAGAGACCAAATTAATTCTTTGATTCTCTTGCATTTCAAAATACTGGTTCAATCAAAATTTAGCAAGGGGTTGAATAAAAAGCAATGCGAGTGCTGAAAGGACCATTTGAGTCTGTCTGCATTATACATTTGTATATCTCCTCCGTAATCCAAGACTTACCCCTGTCCCTGTTTTCATGTTGATTTTTTAGTTGAACAGTATTTCAAATTTGAGATCCTTCTAGACATAAAGTTGGTATGGCTTTACAGATGAATCTCTTGTTCTGTTTATTAGTGACAAGACACCATGGGAAGAAAGCTGCGATGTGTGCTGATTTTCCTTATCATCCTGAAGGAGCCCAACATGCCTGAAGCCTGCAGATGTGCACCGTCATCAGCCTGCAAATGCCCCAAACAGGGTCTCACCAGCATCCCACAGAACCTCCCTACATCTATCACTACCTTAGAGTTAGAACGTAATTTTATTACAGCTGTAAATCAGTCTGAGTTGTTAAAGTATGAGAATTTGACCAAGTTGGAGTTTGACCAAAACTGCATTAGCGTTGTTGATTGTTTCCCCAGTCTACCCCATCTGACAAAGTTGAGCCTTTCCCGCAACAAGTTAACAAGTATTAAGGCTGTTACATTTGCAAGTGTACCCCGTCTACAGACATTGTACCTGGCCTACAACAAGATTACTGTAATTCAGCGTGGTGCATTTGCAAATCTACATCAGCTACAAACGTTGGCCCTGCACTACAACCAATTAACAGAGATTCGAGCAGGTTTGTTTGCAAATATGTCAAAGCTACAGGAGTTAGTTGTGACCTACAACCAGATAACAATGATTCAGCCAGGTACATTTGTGAATCTACACCAGCTAAAATCGTTGTTTCTGTCCAACAACAAAATAGCAATGATTCAGCATGGCACATTCGTAAATCTGACCCGGCTACAGCAGTTTTACCTGTCTTTCAATCAGATAACAATGATTCAATCTGGTGCACTTTTAAATCTACCCAAACTCCAATATTTAGAACTTCAGTCAAACAACTTGTCTTCAATTCCCCCTTCAGCTGTTGCCTTGTTTAAATCTGTTCTTAACATTTTTATAGAGTTTAGCGATAACCCCTGGCAGTGTGACTGTAGGATGGCTCCCTTCAGGCTAAATATTACTCAATTTCCTTCATTTAAAGACCAGATTATCTGTGCCCATCCCGCCAAGTTCCAGGGACAAAAGCTTATAAATGTCAACCCTGAAGATATATGTGAAGAGCCAACAATATCAACACTAACTACTGTTGATATCCAAACCTCATTTAAATCTGTAGTGCCAACATCTTCGGTTGACAACACCTGTTATGAAGGCACTCGCTATCACTGGTACTTCAAAGGTAATGCTGTCTCAACAGCACATTCTGCAGGCAATACAACAATAACTTCACCTCTTCCTATCACTTTTAAACAAGAATCTAAGCCCAGTTTTCCCCTACCTGCTCTCATTGGCTCAGTTGTTGGTCCAGTAGCTGGTATTGTCCTGATTGTTACCATCATTCTAACAGTTTGGTACAAGAGGAAGATCATCTGGTATCCTCATTCAGGACAAAAGCCCAGCAATGTTATTGGTACAAACATCAACACCACAGCTACTGTAATGACCAGTGGTGAGGATAACCAGTATGAAGATATAGACAACCATAATGATCAGACAGGGCAGGGTCAGTCTCAGGCCATCACTGAATCCACCACAAAAAACACAGCTACTGTAATGACTAGTGTTGACGATAACCAGTATGAGGATATAGACAACTTTAATGATAAGACAGGGCAGGGTCAGTCTCAGGCTAAGTTTCAATCTCTTAAAGCTGGAAATCTATCAAAGAAAGTGCTAGCTGCCTCAAATCCTGGTGGGGAAACACCAGAAAATGACTCAAACTCTACCAGTAGTAATGATCAGACAGGGCAGGGTCAGTCTCAGGCCATCACTGAATCCAACACAAACACCACAGCTACTGTAATGACCAGTGTTGACGATAACCAGTATGAAGATATAGACAACCTTAATGATAAGACAGGGCAGGGCCAGTCTCAGGCTAAGTTTCAATCTCTTAAAGCTGGAAATCTATCAAACAAAGTGCTAGCTGCCTCAAAGCCTTGTGTGGAAACACCACAAAATGACTCAAACTCTACCAGTAGTAATGATCAGACAGGGCAGGGTCAGTCTCAGACCATCACTGAATCCAACACAACTACCACAGCTACTGTAATGACCAGTGGTGAGGATAACCATTATGAAGATATTGACAAGCATCATGATCAGACAGAACAGGGTCAGTCTCAGATAGAGCTGTGTACCGGTACGCAGTACCGATACTGTACCGGAAAAATTGATTAGGTACAGGTCCAAAATACCTACTCCCTCAGTACCGGTACTGTACCTAAACAATTTCACACCAATTTTATGCCTATTTGTGACCTCAAATGTGTGTAAAGGTGGTTAACAATGGGTCCCTGTGTAAGGACAGCATGTTCATGAAAACAAAACACTTAGTTTTGCCTATATTTTATCTGAGCATTCGCCATAAACAAAGAATAAACCTTAACTATCAAGTTTATTTATGTTTTTTTGTTATTGAAGGAGTTCAGAAGACCATATAAATTGGTCGAATTGTTCAGGTACAGGTTCAGGTCCAGACCTGTACCTAAACCTGTGTACCTGTACCTGTACCTAAAATTTGTTTAGGTACACAGCTCTAGTCTCAGACCATCACTGAATCCACCACAAACACAACAGCTACTGTAATGACCAATATTGACGATAACCAGTATGAAGATATAGACAACCTTAATGATAAGACAGGGCAGGGCCAGTCTCAGGCTAAGATTCAATCTCTTAAAGCTGGAAATGTATCAAACAAAGTGCTAGCTGCCTCAAATCCTGGTGGGGAAACACCAGAAAATGACCCAAACTCTACCAGTAGTCATGATCAGACAGGACAGGGTCAGTCTCAGGCCATCACTGAATCCAACACAAACACTATAGATACTGTTATGGCCAGTGGTGAGGATAACCAGTATGAAGATATTGACAACCATCATGATCAGACAGAACAGGGTCAGTCTCAGACCATCACTGAATCCAACACAAACACAACAGCTACTGTATTGACCAGTGTTGACGATAACCAGTATGAAGATATAGACAACTTTAATGATAAGACAGGGCAGGGCAAGTCTCAGGCTAAGTTTCAATCTCTTAAAGCTGGAAATTTATCAAACGAAGTGCTAGCTGCCTCAAAGCCTTGTGTGGAAACACCACAAAATGACCCAAACTCTACCAGTGGTCATGATCAGGCAGGGCAGGGTCAGCCTCAGAGGCCATCACTGAATCCGACACAAACACCACAGCTACTGTAATGACCAGTGGTGAGGATAACCAATATGAAGATATTGACAAGCATCATGATTAAACAGGATAGGGCCAGTCAGATCAGGCTTAGACATTCAATCTCTTCAAGTAAGCTGAAAATTTATCACACAACACAGTGCTAGATGCCTTAATGTCAAATGATATGTAATGCAGGTGTGAAAACAACACAAAAAGACCTAACATGACAATTATGAGACATGATAGGGCCAGTTTCAGGTAATCACTAAATCTGTAGTAGCTTATTTTTTTTAGTAGTCATGATTGTTGTTAATATGATTTTTTTAAAATCTGATGGTGGGTCACAGACCCAAAAGTCCTGGGTGGGTAAAAGTATCATATTAATGTTCCTACTAGTAAGTACATGTAGTTTGTAGCTTCCACTGGTTTGCAGTCACTACGCTAGGAGAACACAAGTTTATACTTTTATGGTAAGAGTCAAAAACTCATAACAAAATTCTCACCCTATAGATTTTCAAAATTTTGAACTTGTGTTCTTAGGGAAATATTACTGAATCTGTAGTGCATGAGCCTGTCATGGCTTTATTGGAATGTTACACATTCAAATTGAAAATGTACCTGGTATTTGTATCAATTTCAAACATAGTAATTAGTGTGTGTGTCAAGTCATTAATTACTAGTCAGTAATGTGTTTTTTTGTTACATGACCTCCTTGACGTACTGATCATTTTAGTTCAATGTTGTTTTATCTTGGAATCCAGAAATATATAGTGGCATGTATATCTATACCCCACTAGTGGGTAATACTGAATGAATAAAATACATGTGCTTTACATCTTTTCTATGTTCAGTTTGTTATATTAGCTCATTAAGTTTGCTGAGATGTGGTAGGTCATAGAAATGAGCCGAATCCTTGCATCTGCTTGGTCCTGTAGACTAGCTAGCCACGTGCACGTGCCTCGGTATTAACTGTTGTTCTCTGATGAATATCACTCATTTTTACCATAATATAGCATGATCTAGCATTTTTTTGTGCATGAGCCTCTCTTGGCTTCTTTGAGTTGATTACATTTTTGCTGCGGTATGGTGGGCCCTCCGAAATTTAACCGCGTAAAAGACTAGAAATGAGCCGGACCCTTGCATCTGCTTGGTTTTGGAGATTCGCCATGTGCCTCGATATTAACTGCTGTAACAGTTGTTCTTTGAGAAAAATCGCTCATTTTTACCACAATATAACATGCATGTTTTGTTGAGATATGGTACAGTTGGACCTCCGAAAGTAAACTGTTCGCGTAAAAGACTAGAAATGAGCCGGCTCCTTGCATCTGCTTGGTCTTGGAGCTTAGCCACGTGCCTCAGTATTAAATGTTGTTGTTCTTTGAGAAATATCTCTCATTTTTATCATAATATAACTCTTCAATCGACTAAATTCTGAGGTAAATGCTGAGATATGTCACATGGTAGGTCCTCTGAAATTGTTCGCGTAAAAGACTAAAAATGAGCCGAACCCTTACATCTGCTTGGTCCCAGAGACAAGCCATGTGCCTCGCGGTATTAACTGTTGCTGTTCTTCGTGAAATAACTTTTTTTTACCATAAAATAACATGTCATTCGAATAAATTCGAATGTCAAACGACCACAGAAGCATTAAGAACAATATAATGTGCCACTCACCTTTCAATTCGGCCGTTAAACGTCTTTCAAGGACGGTTTCTGGGGGAGAATTTTTCTTCAAGTCAACCGCCGGCCACCATCTTGCCTGGTTTGAAATGCCAGCCACACCCTGTGTAACACGTGGTACTTCAACCACCTGTTGATCATTTCATTCCGATAATGGCATCAGCTTTAGTTTTACGTCTTCAAATATTTTGTGATATACTCCACAGTCCCAAAATATTCAGGAAAACACCCCGACACTTCCAGTGAGAAGTTAGAAGTCTCCGATTTATTGTCTTAGATTAATCATAAGGCTTAAATGATAATCAATTCAATCTTATACTTTTTCAGGCAGTAAATAAAATACAGCTTCATTTTATATATCTAACAAATATTTCCTCAGTCAAATTCTTTCCTCTGAAACCCATTTTTCTTGCATTAACTTGCCGATTTAGGGAAACACGCAGCGTATCTGACTGTTTTGAGGCGCTTGGTGTTGAAATCGCAATGGATAAAAAGCGCCCCACAGCGATAAAAAAATCCCTGCAGTAATAGAGCATGAGTTTGAGGCATCGCCATGGTTCAAAAACGCCCCATTGCGGCGAACAAATCATTGCAGTAATGAATATAGAGCATGAGTTTCAAAGCAAGCTGGTGTTGAAGTCGATAATTCCATGGTGCGGTCCTTCATTTGTAACTTGTAAGCCGTAACCTGTAACCTCACAGCCTTGGTGTCCAGTCCTATCGTGGATTGGGTGGGCTTCTTCGGCGTTCTAGACTGCCGGAAACTCTAGATCTCCGCTGCCTGGCTTAACGTTGAGCACCGCGAAAACCCCTACAGGTTGCCGTGCGCGCCTGAGAACTCCCTAGTACAGCCCATCCGCCCAAATCCATGGTAAATTATACAGTGTAGTACCGATAGAAAGTTGCCAACAAAGTAAACAGCCATGAGTCTAACGGTTTTTTTTAAATAAAAATCTGTTTATGAATGAAGACCTTTATTGTACATTTGTGTTCTACAGAACTAAGTACAGGTCGCATGGGTACAGAACATGAACATAAACATATACATTACATACAAATGAACATATAAGAGTGTAAATAATGTCTAATTTCTATTCTTTTCGGCTTCATCTCGCTTAGTAGTGATTGTATGGATATATGCGGCTGTGAGATTACTTAGAGTAGGTTTATCAAAAGTTAAAAGGAATACAAATTTCTCTTTACTAGTCAAATATCTGAAGTGAGGAAATATACTTAATACATGGCTATAAAATATGGGTCTATCTCTACTATTATTATATAATATTAAAATAAGTTTTGGGGCAGTTTATGAATAAGTTAGAGGAAGTTGACCATTCAACCACCTGCTACCGCCAGAGCCCGGGCTACATGAAGAACCGCGCGCGGGACGAAAACTTGCTGAAGCCGCTTAGCTAGCGACAATATGAGCGCTAGCCTGGATGACAGACCCATAGTTAGCCAGGCGATTCCTTTTAACTATACCCTTCGGCTTGGGAAGAAACATATTT